CAGGCGCTGCTTGGCGGGCTTCGAGCCTGAGATGAGGCGTAGTGCGTGCTCGGCGACCTCACACGGTATTCCCGGCATGTCAGAAGGTTTCCATGCGAAGACATCACGATTGGCGCATAGGAAGTCGACGAGCTCGCATTCCTATTTGGCTGGTAGCTGGGTCCCGATCCGCACTGTCTTGGTGGGGTCGGTGGGTTGATCCCCACCACCTTGGTTTCCTCGATCGGCAGAAGGTAGCTGAGGAGGTTGACTTGTTGTAGTCTGGGACTGCTGGGGTCGATGATTCTCTGAGCTGAGGGAGCTCGGTGGAGTTGATGACGGCGGTGGTGAGTTCGAAATGCTCGCAGGGTCGCACGTGTAGGCATGCGAAAAGGTGTTACCCACAGTGATGACGTCGTTCGGCCCCAGCATCTTCAGCTTGAGGTAGCTGTAATTGGGGATCACCATGAACTTGGCGTAGCATGGCAGCCCCAAGATGGCGTGGTAGGACCCGGGGAAGTCAACCACCTCGAAGGTTAGGACCTCCGAGCAAAAGTTGGCTCAGTCACCAAACGTGACGGGCAGGTCAATCTGCCCGAGCGAGTATGCCTGTGTTCCCAGGATCACGCCATGGAAGGGAAAGCTCACTAGATGGAGCTCCGACTTGGGGATGCACATGGCATAGAGGATGTCGATGTAGAGGATGTTGAGGCCGCTACCTCCGTCCATCAGCACCTTGGTGAGGCGCTTCTTGCAGACGATAGGGTCGATGATGAGTGGGTAGCACCCTGGTCTGGCGACGTGGGAAGGATGGTCCCTTTGATCAAAAGTGATCGGAGATTCTGACCAGGTGAGGAAGGAGGGGATGGCCGTCTTTGCGATGCAAGCCTCTCTGTAGCGCACTTTGTGTTGGACCTTGGAGTAGATGGCATCGGACCCCCAAAGATCATGATGCACTCCTCGAGATCAGGAAAGCCGTCGCCATCCTTGTCTGCCACGCCCCCTTTTTTGGCTGCCGCCTCCTTGGCCTTTCCTTCTTTCAACCCACCAGCCTATCGCAGAAGGCGCTTGAGGAGTTCGCAGTCCTTGTAGAGCTGCTTGACGGGGTAGGCGTGGTTGGTGCACGAGCTCTCCATGAGCTTGTCGAAGTGGTCAGATAGGCCCTGCTACGGATGCTTGCCCGCACGATTAGCCACGGTGACCAACATGGAGTTGGTCGATCGGCGCCGATCCTTCTTGTTCTTTTTGCCCCTCTGTGTGGAGGGGCCCTCGTCTTGGTCCTTGTGTTTGGCCTTGCCTTTGTCCCGGCCACCACTAAAGACCGCTCCCACTGCCTCCTCGTCGGAGGCGTGGTTCATGGCGACGTCGAGCAGGTCACGGGTGGTTCGGGGCTTCAGATAGCCAAGCTTGTGGATCAGGGATGCGCTGATGACGTCCGCGTCGATGACATTAGGAAGGGAGTTGCATCGCTTTGAGAACCTACGAATATAATCCCATAGGGACTCGTTAGCCTCCTGCTTGGCGCTCTTGAGGTCCTAGGAGTTCCTAGGGCAAACATACGTCCCCTGGAAATTCCCAACGAAGATCCTCTTGAGGTCCGCCTAGTCGCGGATGCTGTCATGCGGAAGGAATTCAAACCACGCTCGAACATGCTCCCCCACGCAGATGGGGAGGTATTGAATGATGAAATGGTCATCATCCACTCCCCCGGCTCGGCAGGCGAGCCGGAAGTCTTCGAGCCATATACGGATTCGTTTCCCTAGTATACTTGGCGATGTTGGTGGGTGGCCGGAAGCGCTGTGGGAATGGCGCTCTCTAGATGCGACGGTCAAAGGCCCGGGGTCCCGAGCCGTCCGGGCTAGGACTTCGATCGTCCGGTCGGCGACCATGCCTGGGGTGCGTGTCACCGCTCCCCTCGATGGTCGGCCGGGGCTCGTGCCGCCTACTCTCGCCGCCGCTCGGTGGACGTCATCGTCTCACTGGGCTTGGCACCGATTGTTGATGACACTATGGGTATCTCGGTTCGGTCCGAGCCGCTCGCGCATAGGTGGTCGGTGTGGAGGCGGTGCTGGGTCATGCCGTGGTGCGGCTATGGCCTCCTGTGCCACGCTCGGCGGCTGTAGCGGTGAGCGGATGGAGCGATTGGACTGGTGCGCCCCCATTCCTTCGGTGAGGAAAGAGGCCGTGAGTCGGTGTCGCGACGCGGAGCTCTCCGCCTGTTGTACGTCGGTGGTTTCCACCAGTGCCCAGAGGTTCCGGTGGACCGCCTGCTCCTAGGGGTCGACTGGCTTGGGAAGGCCGCGCAGAAGCATCGCCGCAGCAGCGATGTTTTGGCTAGCCCGAGCAAACTGCGGGGGATCGTTTTCCCCATCCAGGATGTTGCGCTGGACCTGGTGGGCGCGACACCGGGCGCCGCTCGTCGGGTTACGCGCGCGTAGCGCAGCATGCTGCACCGAGCACGCGGGGGCAGGTGGCGGCTGGTTCTGTCGCCTTTGTCGTAACTCCTCGCCGTGCTCCTGCACGTGTGAGAGGGCCTCTGCACGATGGCCTAGAGGGGTGTGGGTCTGTAGAGACTCCACCACCGGCGGTGGCTGTCCCGGAGCATCCGCCATAGCGCCCTCCCGGGACAGAGGGTGGCTAGGTGCCACGCCATCGCCGATGCTAGAGCCGTCGCTCTCAACTTCATCATCCATCAAGTCATGGAAAGTGGCGGGAGCGTAGTCCGCCATTCCCACGAATTCAGATGTGAGAGGGGGTGCCGTCAGCATCTTTTGGAGCCCCCGTGCGTACGTGTCCGTGGGAGACGCGAGGCCATAGGGAACTGGTCGCATGGCGGTCGTGGTGGGGACAACGAGGTCCCCGCGGAGAGCCGGTGGAAGATATTAAATAGCGAGTAAATGATAATATGTACGTTACTCACAATGAGGTTTGAGCCCAGTGTGGGCTCGGAGTGAAGCGCAGGCGTCTCATTGTTGAGGTCGCCAGGTGTCCCGGAGCCAACGGAGGACGCTCCTCCTTCGACAGGCGGCGGGACGAGTGCCTCTTCGCGAAGGCGAAGTACGCCGAGTCAGTCGGCGATGAAGTCTAGGCTTCCGAAGAGGAAGGCCAGGGACGGCTTGAAGACGGGAGGAACCCACATTCCAATAGGTGGGAGCGTGGGAAACTCCAGCGAGCCGAAGCGAGTCGTATCCCTTGAGCCCGCCATGCCAAAGATGGCGGAAAGGTGAGCCATCCGATGATGAAAAGCGTGAACGTACGGCGTTCTCCCCACGGACGGCGCCAACTGTCGGTGCAAAAAGTGACAAACAAGTAAATATTTATAATTTTACCGTACGTTGTGATCAGATGTGGCCTAGCACTCAATGACACAGGGTTTATACTGGTTCAGACAACGTGCCCTACGTCCAGTTTGAGTCGGTCGGAGACTTTATTCCTGAGCCTAGGTGCTCGAAGTTTGCAGTGGGGTTACAAATGAGTAGTAGTAAGATGGGGTGCAAGAGGTCTGGTCGGACTCTGGGCTGAAGGGCTGAGAGTGACAGGAGCTCCTACGTGCGCTGAGTATTCGAGTGTGTGCTCTGTGTAGCGTTAGAGTGTCTAAAGCTAGCAAAGAGTGAATCGGAGTGATCCGTCTGTTGTTGTTCGAATCATCCGTGTGTTGAGAGAGAGCGCATCCCCTTTTATAGATGAATGGGACGGACTTACAAGAGAGAGAGACGGTGTACGTATGCTACTAAGTCTTGTTGCCCACGTCGTCGGGTACAGGATGATTGTAGGCACCCACAATACTGTTTATGTCAGACGCATGTGGAAGGTTTTACCGTGTTCACCAGGTATGGCAAATGACGGCGCCCACAACATTGTTGATGTCCAGAGACATGTGGGGGGGTTTACCGTGTTCGCCTGGTATGGGAATTGATGGCGCCCACAACACTGTAGGGAAAACGTCGGCGCCCACAACATTGGTTGGGTTCTGAGTTCTGACATGCCTGAAAGGTTGCAGGACACCCTTCTGACATGTCCTGTCGGTACAGTACTGCAGGCGTGCAGGGTACGATCCTCGGTATTGCGTTTGGCTTGAGCGCCCTGCCTTACTTGCTCCGCCCGTTTCCTGGGTCCTCACCGAGCGGGCGTCCCCGGTCGGTTGGTCCCAGTCGGCTCCGACTGCGCCAGTCGGAGAAGAGCTGTAAGCAGAGGTTCGGTGCATCCCCGGTCGAAGACGCGGGTCGGAGTCGAAAGCGGCGTTGGCCAGGCCTTCCGGTGGGAGAAGCGGGTCGGAGTCGGAAGCGAACGTCCTCCCCTCCTTGGCCATGCCATCCGGTCGGAGAAGCGGGTCGGAGCCGGAGGCGAGCGTCGTTCCTCCTTGGCCAGGCCTTCTGGTCGGAAAGGCGGGCTGGAGTCGGAAGCAAGCGTCGTTCCTCCTTGGCCAAGCCTTCCGGTCGGAGACTGGATCGTCCTTCTGGCCTGTCGTTAGGTATTTGGGTGGGCCCAGGAGTTGCGTGTCGTTCATATTGTCGTCTGCTTGACCGAGCTTTTGCTGGGAAGCAGATCCATTATGGACCCCGGGTTTACGAGCCCGACACCTACACAGATCTCATAATTGCATTTTTTTTTCTTGACAGAGTGAGTAACTACCAAGTGCGGACATTAGCATCCGAAAATTCCTAGATTTCATCAGGATTTTAGGGCCTGGGTTTTGATGCGGCAACCGGATAGATGCAAAATACTCCTGTGGGCCAGAACGTCACACAAAAATTCCAGGAGAGCATAATTATTTGGCGAAAGAATTTGAACAGCACACTTCAAGACCAAAGAACTAGAATTTGATGCCGCCTTTGCACTTTGCATATATTTAATTTTGTCCTAGGAAACTAAAAATCAGTATTTATCAACTCGATCTGCTATATCTTTGTTCCTCAGAAGAAAATCTACATCCACTAAACATCAAAGAAGAAAAGGTAACCAAAAAATTGTGCCTAAAAATGTTCTGTAGTAATGAAAAGAATTATAGTAGCTTCTTTCTTTCAAAGAAGTTTTTCAGGTGCCATAACTGCAAGCCCGCCACTGATAGGCAGATGGTGAGCGAGAGGAAACCAAGCCAAGCCATCCTTGAGTTTGTTCTCCTGTTCAGTTCCTGCATTTCTACTTCCCTGAAAGAATAACAGGCAGTGTATGATTAATGAGATGTGATAATTTTTGCAAAACATAAAACTGTATTCTGGGTCTTTTTGAGGTTGAGTACATGCCTTTCACGAAGGTAAAACATTTCTTCATGGATAGATCTGATGTTATCCTCCAGCTTCCTGAGCTCCAATTCCATCATCTACACAACCAGGGCCATATATTAACAGAACTCCTTTCTTTATTCCTCAAAGGACAATACAAATCCATTACAATAACAGATATCCAGGAGTTGCCAATTGCACATACTGCTGTTCGTTACAAACTTTTTTCTAGTCCATTTATCTTTTAATGTATCATAATCCATTGATATCAATAGCTTCCTCCTCCTTGTGCTTGTTTTTTAGTTTAATCGAGTTTTATGGTGTATCTTGGCTGTAGCGTCTATAGACTGCTCGTGTTGTATGAGACTCTTTCATATTCTCCTTCTTAATGAAAAAGATATGCATCTCTCCCCTTTGCACAAATTATTTACAAAAAGCATAAACAAATAATCTAATTCTTCCGTCATCTGGTGATCAGTGATCAGGAGCATCTGACCTGACATCCTGACATCTGTTGATCCAGGAGCTCCCAGTGACATCTGTTGATCAATGATCAGGAGCTCCCGGTGCGATCTAACTAGGCTCAAAAGATTCGGCTGAAAATTTATAATCAAACTGTGTAATTAGTTATTTTTTTTTATCTATATTTAATACTCTATACATGTGTCAGGTGCCGAGAGAGATAAAAACTAGGAAAAAGGTCTTTGGTTTTGGCAGTCATTCTGATGGCTTGGTCACTATGGGTACTCAAGAGTATTCAGGCAGGGCGTGTTCAGTATGGTCACTCTTTGCGATCACATCAAGGAGGAGCCGAACCTTGGGGCAAGAGCAGTAAACAGAGGCTCAAAAAAAAAAGAGCAGTAAACAGGGTGGTGTGATTCCTCCAGGCTCCTGTTGCTGATCCACTAGTAGGCGCTAGTGTTTCCTGTTGGCATAGTTTGTGCGTTTAGGCTTTCGGCCTTTTCAGTTTTCAGTCTTTCTTTTCTTCTCTGTTCATCAGGTAGTTATGTTGGCCTGTGCAGGTAGCTGTCGGTTGTTGTTTTCTCTGTTTATTTGTTTGTAGTTGGTTGTAAATTACCTTTTATTAAAATATGTGCCCAGGCACATTTCAAAGAAAAAAAAAGAATAAGCCCATAGCCAGAGCCAGAGGAGATGGTCTCCTGCGTGTTTGAACCTAGAAGAGAGAGCTTATTAGATGTTGTACCAAAACAAATGTAGTACCTGCATGTAGTTTAAAAAACAAGGTAGTACATATGTTATACAGCAATCATACATGCCCTGGCCATGCATCTTAACTTCACATGCGATCTCTAATAAACTAAGTGAAGTGCTGTGGATTTTCTTGGACCTATCTGAGATCTGAATCGTAGCCAACAATTCTAACACACAGCCTACGTGTCAAGTGTCAATGTGTTGGTCAGTGAAGCGAAGAAAGAACAGATTAGATGAAAGGAGGAGGAGGAGCACTCACTTCGACCTGACCCTTCTTGGCGACGGCGCTCCAGTCCCTGGCGGAGACGCCGCTGCGCCAGTCGAACTCGAACGCGACGGTGGCGGGAGGGCGGTGATCGGGCGCCCAGAAGCAGGCGAGGTAGTCGCCGGCCTCGGAGGCCGTGAAGGCGAAGTTACCCGAGTGCACGTTCTCCGCGTAGTGCAGGCTGTTGCCGTAGGGCGAGGTGACCCGCAGCGAGATGCGGTGGGAGTCCGGGAGCTGCTGCTGCTGGAACTGGGATGACGACGACGACGAGGAGGAGGCGCCGTCGTCGGGGGCCATGACGTGGTACTTACCGACGGCCATGGCGCCGACCTTGATGTCGTCGGAGATGCACTTGGTGTGGCCCGAGAGCAGGTCGAAGCGGAGCGCGCCGGCGGGGGCCGCGGTCGCGAGGACGAGCAGGAGGAAGGGAACGGCAAAAGGAGGCCTCGCACGAACAGTCTGGGCCCTTTTGCTCTTCCTACTGTAATACGTACGGTACTCGTACCGAATACGTATTTGATCTTTCTTTTTTGCGACGACAATATGTAGCATGTGTACTTCACTTACGTTGGGTTAAGCCAATCTCTTCTGAGAGCACGTACTCATGGCGCAACTTGTGGACGTGTGTTGACGGTGTCCTTCCATCGATGAGTAGAATGCTGTCAAATACAGTACTGCAACAGATTACCTGAATTCATGTTCTCTTTGTTTCCCAGATACTTGGGCCAAGTTTATCGTTGCCAGTTGCCACTGGTTCAACGAGCAGAGCTTCGGACCACTTGCTGGCCTAGTGATCACTATAGTAGAGTTAACAATTACTAGCTGTTTAGCCGGACTCCGTGAGTTCAAGAAAAATATTCACTTCGACATATATTATGATAAATTCCTCGTCACAATTTTCCCTCTTTTATTATGGTGATTAAGGACTTAGTGCTCTCACACTAAACGGCAAATGCCAGAAAAAAAAAGGGGCGTGAGTTCATCCCACAACCGGGCACAATTCTAAAGCAAAACAAGTACATCGGACCAGACCAATGCATTTGGCAAGTACAATTAAGTGCAACACTAGATCATGCTGGATGCAGCAACCACACAACTTATTGAATTCGAAGACAACTCATTCGCAGTCATCAGCTCATATATCACCACGGATCTCTACAGGATCCAAGACAACCATCACCTCATAACTTTATTAATGCAAACGGATTGGAGTGCTTAGATCTTCTCGAGGGCCTGAACAAGATCATTCTTAAGATCCTCGAAATCCTCCACTCCAATGCTGAACCTGATCAGGTTGTCCTTGATCCCATAGATGTCCCTCTGCTCCTTTGAATCCCTGTTCACAAGCCGCAGAGCTCAAAATTTAGCACAAGTACGTCATTTTGTTTTGAATGTCTCAATACCACAAACATTATTAAGTTCTTACCAGTAGGACATGATGGCAGGCTGATCAATTATGCTTTCACAGCCTCCGAAAGAAGGGGCATGATAAGGTATCTTAACAGAATCAATGAATCTCCTTGTACCATCAAAGTCTCCAGCAACCTACACAAGAAAAAAAATGAATATAATTGAACTATGTCATGTTCACAACAATTTAATACACAGTATAATGGATTCAAGAATTAAATTTACCTCAAAACTAACAACACCACCAAAGCCAGTCATTTGACTCTTGGCAATGTGATGTTCAGGGTGACTAGGCAAGCCAGGATAGTAGACACGAGCAATCTGGGAACAAGAGATAATATCATTAGTTAAAACAATGGAAACATGGAATACCACTAGTTTGTATACATACATCAATAAAAGAAAACACAGTTCACACCTTTGGATGTTCCTCTAAAAACTGGGCCATCCGAAGAGCAGTGTTATTCTGACATTGCACACGGAGATGCAGTGTCTTCATGCCTCGAAGGATAAGGTACGCAGCATTCTAATATCACAGCACAAAACAGTTATGAGCCAGAGAACCGATTATTCATTGCACCATATAGTAAGAGTATAAGACAGATATTGAAGGTGTGAGAACAGTGGATTTGAAACAAGGGTAACAAAGCTCACAAAACTACAGATTCAGTGTCTACCATAACAAGCTTCTAAAGACATGGGGGTGTCCTACTATTCAACTTGTGAAACAGAGTACAACATGAGCCATTTCACTTTCAGACAAGCATAACTTGGAAATACTATTTCGTAAAGTGGTAGCACAGTCTGTGACATAAACCTCCGAATTAATTATTAGATATACATTGCAGTGCACAGAGCATATTCTATTTCTTCCTTTCCAGAATTCTAGTTCAACTCACTTTATGGAAGTTAACAGAGAACTGAATGCAGCTTGTGATACTCAGAAAGGGCAAATTATTTTTCCAAACCTAAATATATGCAACTAAAGAAAATCACATGATTTTCTACCTATCAAAAAATAGAAGCCTGTAATTATGGGAATCTGTAAATACATACAACCTGTGCATGGAAGATGAAATCCCCGCTCTGTGGGGGTGGAAAGGGTGTGTCAAAATTTTAACAATCCAAAACCCGGGACCTTCCGGTCACAGGGTTTAGAACACCCGCCTTCGCATGGAAGATGAAATAAATGGAAACAAAATTTTAACAATCTAAACTTACCGGGTTTAGAACACCACCAACTACATGGTGATAAGTACGAACTTTGGAAACTAACTCATCTCTGCCACTGACACATCCTCCAATAACCTGGGAAATTGAAGTATTGAATACTCTAGTTAGTGCAAACACATACCTTTATTGAGAGGAGATGGGTTTCAGTATATCAACTCACATCATTGTGTCCAGCAATGTACTTTGTTGCAGAATGAATAACTAGGTCAGCACCTAAAGTAAGTGCCTTCTGATTGATAGGGGAGGCAAAAGTACTGTCGATACAAAGCAATGCTCCCTTGCTATGGCACATATTTGATACATGCTCAACATCAATGCATCTGAGAAATGGATTTGTAGGAGTCTCCGTGAAAAAAAGAGATACCTGACATGACCATAAGATTAGGCTACATTTGATAATGTATGTTTTTTGTTGCCACAATCAGGGGCAATGAAATGATATCACACTCACATTATTGTTATCCAACGCATTTTGTAGAGCATCCATGTCAGCAGGCCTAATGACAGTCATCTGGGCATAAACAGTATCACATACTAAGTGAAGCATGATAAACATTGGTATACAAACTCACAAAGTGTTCTCGCTGCATTTCAACTGGTAGATATTGTGATTATATAATAAATCTTATTGCGAGGGATCCTAAAATCTATTACCATAAGCATTTTTTACTTGAGTTAAATCCTTTTGCAGATAGCCAATAAAATTGACATTACAGTACAAAGAATAAAAGTTTGAAGCCATACTGTACTCCCAATAGCTACTACAAAGCTATTGTTCATATACCATGCAGTAGTTATGCTACTCCTATTGGCTCATGCTGAAGTAACTGGACTTTGTAGAGATTATTAACTCGATAAGGAGAACACAACTGAGTAATTTTAACTGAATAAGAACAAGTTCACTGAAAACGCACTACTGTAGCACAGCGGCAGTAAGACAATTAACTGTTATAGCTGATGCCCCGTCCTAAAAACAAGTAGAGCTTAAAGGATAGCATGGTATTACCGAAATTCCCCTCTTAGGGAGCTCAGTTTCCATGTAAATCCTTGTCTTGCGATAGCAATCCGTGGTGGTGACAATGTGCCCACCAGCTGGGACGAGTGCACTAAGCATAGCCACAGCTGCATACATCCCCGACGCCACAAACACCGTGGACTCTGCTCTCTCCAGCGCGCTGCACCATCAGAACACGCAACTGTTTAGGCTCCAACCAAATGCAATCAACAAGGTGTCTACATTTCCACTATCGAACATCACCTCATCTTCTTCTCTAATGCCTCTGTGGTCGGGTTCCCATACCTCCCGTACTCGAAACTAGCATGCCTCCCCTCCTAAAGAACAGATAAAATATAAAATTCCCGCGTCAGATCTGTCAAATTCGACAAGAGCAAGCACGAATATTCATTTGGAGAAGGGGATCTGTCGAACCTTAAAGTCGATTAGCTCTTGCGAGTTGTTGAACCAGTAGGCCGACGTGTTCACTACTGGCGTGGTGATCGCATCCGTGGCGATCCTTCTTCCCAGCCTCTCCCCTGTTTCAGATCAAAAAGCAGCAAAGCCGCAAAGGAATCATCAAAAGGAAAAGGCATAGACCCTAGATCTTAAAGCAAAGAGGCGAGCTAGCATGGTACGGCACCCGCGTGGACGGAGAGGCTGGCGTCGGAGCCGAGCAGGTTACGCTCGGCCAATACGACGGCGGACGGCTGCGCAACCTTAGCGTTGGGGATTGCGCTGACCTCCGCCGCCGCGGAGGCGGCGGCGGCGGCGGCTGATGCGGCCGCGGCGTGGGAGGAGGCCACGCCGCGGGCGCGGCCGCCGCCGCCGCCTGAGTGGGGACGAGCGGTGGGGCAGTCTGACCACGCGGCGGCGACGATCTGCGCGACGCCGATGTTGCTGCAGTTGCGGCGTGCCTTGGTGCTGAGCTGGCGGACGAAGTTTGGCGGGAAGCGGAGGATGGTGGCAGAGGCCAGGGCGCCGCCGGACTCGGTGGAGAAGACCGCCTGCGGGGTGAGCGAGACGGTGGCCATGGCGTAGGAGGGAGGAGCTAGGGTTTCGGCGGCGGCGCGGGGAAGGACGCTGCGCTCGATCGGTCGCGGCGGCTTCGGGGAGGTGGCAGTCGCGTGGCCTTTCGAAATGCGGTGCGGCTTATTTGTAGTGGCAAGACCGTGAGAGCGCGTTCATCGCTACGGGCACCAACTCCTAGCTGCCTAATTACTGTGTAAGGGGTAGGTGGTTAGTTGTATAGGCTACGCGTTTAGTTCGTCCAAGTTTGGAGGTGCAAACTTTGCACAGTAAAAAAATTTCCCACTATAGTATTTTGTTTGTATTTGTAAATTATTGTCTAAACATTGACTAATTAGGCTCAAAAGATTCGTCTCGTAAAGTTAAAGCAAACTGTACAATTAGTTTTTTATTTCGTCTATATTTAGTACTCCATGCATGTACCGTAAGTTTGATGTGACGGAAATCTTCTTTTTGCATAGTGACAAAGTTGGAAGTTTGGGAGAACTAAACAAGGGCTATGACTCAGTTTGGATCCACCTAATTAATAGTTGTATGGACCTAACTAATAGGTGAGCTAATTGTTAGTTGGATATCTAAGGTAGTGTTTAGATCTAAACTTTAGTTCTGCTGGGCTGTTTGGATCTATGGGCTAAACTTTAGTCCTCTAATCTACAATGATAGATTTACCCTTATTTAATTATTCATGCACAGCCATGCATGCGAGCGGCAAGGGGTATAGGACGTCCAACGCCCGCCTCGAGGGAGTTTAGCCCAGTTTAGGGTCTCTTTGGGAGTAAAAGAATTTAGCCCAGTTTTTAGCTATTTGCTCACTTTTAGCCCCTGTGTTGATCCCCATGGCAAAAAAAAAAAGGACTAACAGTGCAGGGCTAAAGCTTTGCCATGG